TTATATATGTGTAAAGTTACAAACCTTAACAAGCATTGGTATTGATTTACCAGCCCATTGAAAATCTTGAAAAATTAGGACACAACTATATATGGGAGCTATATCTAAATCAGGACCGATTTTCAGGAAACTTGGCAGACACCACTTTAGGCTCAATTCAGCACGTCAAGCTAAATTTCGTACAAATCGAAAGATATATAGGGACTTTGGTGCGCCGTTTACATTACATCTAATCCTGTACCGATATTCACGAAACTGCAGACACCACTCTAGGCTCAGTTCAGCACGTCATGCCAAATTTCGTGCAAATCGAAAGATATATAGGGACTTTGGTGCACCATGTCAAATTTGACGTCATGTCAAATTTCGTGCAAATTGAAAGATATATAGGGACTTTGGTGCACCATTTGCAATAAATCGGACGAGTCTATATATGGGAGTTATATCTAAATTTGGACCGATTTTCTCGAAACTTGGCAGACATCACTCTAGGCTCAATTCAGTACGTTATGCCAAATTTCGTGCAAATCAAAAGACATTGGCAGACATCATTCTAGGCTCAATTCAATACGCCATGCCAAATTTCGTGCAAATTGAAAGATATATTGGGACTTTTTTGCACCATTTGCATATAATCGGACGAATCTATATATGGGAGCTATATCTAAATCTGGACAGATTTTCACGAAACTTGGTTGACATCACTCTAGGCTCAATTCAGTACGTCATTCCAAATTTCGTGCAAATCAAAAGATATATATGGACTATAGTGCACCATTTACATTAAATCGGACGAAACTATATATGGGGGCTATATCTAAATCTGGACGAAACTTCATCCAATTCGTATTATAAATCCGACCTGTACTTTTTTTACAATTTAACACCAACGACTCAGAAACTGATTCTATGCATATTCTCAAAAGGAATCACTGTCTATCTCGTTTCCTTTTGCCTGTTACAAACATATGCACAAATACATAAAATTGTAAAAAATTTTCAGAACAATCTCCTAATAATAATCCTACACACAGGCATTGACCATAATACGAAATTTCAGAAGTCAACATTGACCAATGATGAATTCGGCTTTTGGTTTATAATTATAATGGTCAAAGCCTCACATTTCATTAGAGAATTTTCTATCTTAGTATGAAGAGTTCGAATGTGATAATTGTTGAAAAATTGTTATTTTTTTCAATTTATTTTCGAAAAATAATAAAATTATTCTGATGTTCAAATATGTAAATTAACGGTTATTATATAAGTGTTTATTTTGGTTCCTATGGATTTTAAAAACTAGATTTCACTGTTTTTTATTTAAGTGGATAATATTGGTGTTTACAGCTAACCAGATCAGCTAATTTGTAAAACAAATTTTGAAATTAGTGCAGTAGAAAAAAAGTTTTAACAAGTTTAATTCTATATTTTTCTTGGATTTGAATTGCAAGAAAGTTCAACATATAGTAGTGACCTTCACGAGATACTGTGAAGTCATGCCACAAAATAAGTAGAAGCAAGCCCAACATCCGAGTCAAATAAAAATGTTATTCAGTATTTTATAATACAATCCGACCCTGTTATATTTCAGCCATAAAATAAAAGCTTATATTAATCGAAGAACATATATTTAATATAATATATATTCCTGATGCAGTAACTTTAATACATGAAATATTTTGTTATTAATAAAAATAACAAAAACAAATGAAATATAGTGGGCATAATTGAATATAACAATTTTATAGTAGATACAGTTACTTTTTCTGGGTTGTTTGTGTGGTAGGTATTTTTAAACATTAACCAACACCTAAATTGCAAAATTTATTACTGTCTTATACCATAGACAGACGACAGGCTTAATTTGCATTAAAAAATTCTTAATTTGAATTAATATTTACCCCTGACAGACGAGAGTTTCTGCATTTACGAAACAGTTTTTTGCTTCAAAACAATTGTTTGTCTGTGTGTAGGATGAACATTTTTTACATTTGTTTTGATATTTTTCGGGATTACATCTTTAGGAAATAGATACATGACATAAAGGAGGAATAGCACCTATGATCTTAGCAAAACAGCACCCAATTTAAAAATGGTTGAAATTTGCCTTCATTTCATATTTTTATTTTCATATATATAAATAAATTTGACAAGAAACAATTAATTTTCGACAGCATTACCATATTGAAATTACCTAATTCAGTATAAATTCAGTTTGATTTTGTGCATTAATAACACATAAAAATGAGGATAATGCACAAGTTAATTTGAATTAAGGGGACCCCCCCCCCCCCCCCCCCAAGTTAATTTGAATTAAGGGGACCCCCCATTCTCGGGGTCAACATTTTTGTTGATATAATTCGAATCTACACTGATTAAAGAATGTCTCTACAAAATTTCAAGTGAAAATCTCAAGAACTGTTGAAGATATTTCCGATTTATTGTGTCAGCATCAAGTGACGGCTGAAGGGCTTCTCAAACTTTAAACGCGTTTTTCTCTAAACAATTTTTTGCGAATGGCGGGCACGATAACTCAAAAACTAATAATCTAATCGGTTCCAAATTTTGCAACGTTTCTCTGGGAGTGTATAGCTCTCGTATGAACTAGGATAAAGCCAATCGGTGAAGATCTTCCTTATTTTTTAACTTAGTTTTTGGTAAAAAATCGGCGATTTTCCAAAAATATTTTTTCAAAGGTCCACCATTTTGTTAATTTAGAGCGAAGTCAATAATCCTAGTTCATACGAGAGCCAGACATGTACTCTTTCTAACACAGTTGGAATTTTCGGATTCCGATGTTCCAGTGAGGAGTTATCATGCCCGCCATCAAAAATAAGGACTTTTCTTTAATTACAAAAGAAAAGTCCTTATGAGAGTTTATGAGAGCAATTTATAAATCTAGACAGATTTGAAGTAAATTTGACACCTACCAATCATATTTAAATCTGATTTTTCCCAAGTTCAATATTCCCAAATTATTATAATAAATGCGACCTGTGCTTTGTTTGCAATTTAACATAATGTGGAAACATTTACACCACTAAGGAATGTTTCAAATTCAGCCACAAGTCCTCATAAGTTTTCTTTGGAATTTACTAAATATATTGTTCGAGGGAGACATTTATCATTATCCAAATTTTAAATACGTTTATAGGGTAGTAATTTAGAACATTTTTCTACTTACTGCCGCAGACCTTAAAATTTTGTTTCTATTTATAACCGCCAAGATAATAAAAACATAAAATGTTCTTTCAGATATTTCGCATTTATTACAATAACACTTAAATTATGTTCTTAATACAAATTTGTTTGTTGTTTTTATATTGTCATACAATTGTGTCTTATTTGCTACAAAACATAATTACAAAACTATTCTCATTTTTAGTCCTAATCGGAATTATTACAACCATCATTTAATGTCTGACAATTTGATATTTTTCACGTTTTACAGGCAGTATTGTTACTGGTTTCGCACACAATGCCTGATGATCCAATGGAGGAAGTGATACTTTGAACTGAAAAAAAAAACGAAGAGAGAAACTCATTAAAATCACTTCAATTTCTTCTATTACACAAAAATTTCAGTTCTTTGGCGGAGAACTTACATGTTTATGTAATATTTGCTGAATTCGTTCGCGACTACTTACACAACTCGTTCCGCTAATGGGGAAATCAGTTTTCAGGCAATAATCTTTCATGGACCGTAATTCACCATCTAACTTATTACGATCCTTGGATTTACGAATTATAATGGCCTGGTAGACGGCTTCGCCTTCTTTGATGTAGGCCACAACATTACGATAGAGATTTTCCTCTTGCCAAACAGTGCCGCAGATGTTTATAATCGAATAGCTGACATTACTGGGACCACTACTGTACTGGACAAATAGCCACGGGGTCTCTTCAATGTCATTATTATCATAGGGTTCTTCAAAGGCCTGCATAAGAAAATAAAAGAAGAACGGATTAGTTATCTGTCGAACAATGCGAACAAAATTTCATACTTACCCCTTCAAAACACCTTGCCTTGAGCATATCCAATTCTTTTTGTATCAAATCATCGGATTCACTGACATGCAATACCGTTGCCATTCTTTGAATTTTACCATCGCGGATCAGCACCTCACGTATGGTGGAATTTTGAAAATCCTCCTTGGGCCAAACGATTTCCTTTTGATGAACAATGGCATGGACAATGGTGTTGGCTCCTTTGTTGAACTGCACCAAATACCGTTTCGATAATCTCTGTTTCAAAATCACCCCTTCATTGTTCTTCGTCAATGTCTTGAACTGTTGTTCGATGAAGTAGCGATCATCCGATGCCAATTTAACACGGCCTTCAATAATTGCATGATTCCAATTGAAACGCACTCGGCGATTTATATACATATTGGTCGAATCGTTATCGACCAAATCAATCGAATGTATAACACCATAGACAATCCGACCGTTTTCCTTGCCTCCCTTCGACTGACCCTCGTCCATTTCGATGAGAAACCATGACATGCGGCAAATTTCACGGGAATTATGCAGCAACTGTAGAGATGTCATTTTCACACTGTCAATTTTTCACTTCGACACACGAACAATAGCACTTAATAATGTTTTCAGTTAGACTGATAGTTTAGAACTGTTAATCTGCCGTGATGGGTACTTGATTTAAATACCTTAACTAGTCTGGCTGGCGTATTTTCCGTAATCACCACCAACCGCGCTACCTGTCCACCCTACCTGGAGAAATAAACCCAACCCAAACAAATTTTTATGGCAACCCACAACTACACCTTTCCGCGAAACATAAATTTATGGCCAATGTTTATGGTCGCAGGTCCTTCCAGCCTAGTCATTGTGAAAGTCAATTGGTTTCTGCCAGCACATGTTAGGAAATTACCGCACACTCTGGGAAATTGTGTCCAGTTTGAATTTCGGTACTTAGCAACGCAATTTTAACGATAAGTTAATTGTACGGAAATTCCCATAGTCGAATTTCGATTTTAAAACTATTTACATTTTTCACAGAAATCCAACAGCGAAGTTCATTTTAAGAAACAATAATGGAAATACTTAAGGCAGAACAATAACGGAGCATCATAATGTTTGGCAGAAAAATGTCAACCTTCGGAAATTTTTGTCAAATTGGATTTTCCATAATTTCGAATAACCCAAAATGACTTCTAACTTTTCAAAGGAAAATAAATCGAATCTTTAAGCAAATCACTAATATTTATCTGGTCATTCCTGTGAGGATTTTCATATTTTTCAGAGATTGTAGACTAACATCGATAAATTTTATGATTTTATGATATGGTTACAATCAGTCTGTGTACTGACGTCTCATTTCGATGATCCGTTCGATAAATAAGGACTGTTACATTGTTCTAGATTATATGTGGAAAATGTTACGCTGATCCGTAAAATATAAATTTTTGTGTCCATTTACGTGGAACCGGGCGACATTCCCCAAATTTATATTTAAAATAATGACATTTTAAATGGAACTCGTTTTTTTAAAATATGTTTGGCTATTTTTGGCCCACATATAACGGTACCCCACATTTATTTACCAATAATGATGTCACTACCCAAAATGCTCAATATTGATCTCCTTTTTGGTATAGCCCCATAAAACGCTAGCCCCTATTAGGTAATTATTTTTCTCGCGTGTTTTTGATATACTCAAGGTCTTATCATAAAATGAACTTTTCTTCTTGAAGCCTCTATTCATTTTATATATTTTTAATCTTATCCTCATGGTGGAGCGTATAAAAATTTCGCCCGGGCCGAACTTAACATCATTTAACCTACGATTTGCAGTCGTATTACACCATATATATTTGTAATTGAAAATATTGGTATAGCTGCTATAAAACGCCCTTGAATTCCTGGTTTCCTTTTTATACCCTTCAACACACTGTGATGCAGGGTATTATGTCTTTGTGCATATGTTTGTAACATGCAAAAGGAAACGAGATTGACACATGGTTCCTTTTGAGAATATGCATAAAATCACTTTTTGAGTCGATTTATGCATGTCCTTCCGTCCGTCTGTTGGTGATAAATTGTAAACAAAGTGCAGGCCGCATTTATAATATAAGATATAGCTCCCATATATAATTCCGTTCGAAATTTGGCATAGCGCACTGAATTGATCCAAGAATGATGTGGGTTTAATTTCGTGAAAATCAGTTCCGATTTAGATATAACTACCATATAAACTTTTGTCCGATTTTATGTAAATGGTGCACCAAAATCCCTACATATCTTTCGATTTGCTCGAAATTTTGCACAGCGTAATGAATTAGGTCTGAAATGATGTGTGTTAAGTTTCCTGAAAATCAGTTCAGATTTAGATATAGCTCCCATATATATTCCGAGTTTATGTAAAGTGTGCAGTACAGACCCGATCTTTCCACACAATTTTGTACAATCTACTGAAGTTAGTATAGAGTTTCGTATATCAAGATATGTCAAATCGGTTTAGATCTACATATATAAATATATTTTCGTCCGATTGACACAACATGTTGCAAAATGTACTGATGCTAATATGAATTAATCTCTGGAAAGTTTCGATGAAATCGGCATAAATTTAGAAATAGCTCCCTTATACATTTTCGTCCGCTTTTAGATTAATGGTACACCAAACTCCTAATGTTTGTCCGATTGATACGAACTTTTGCACAACGTATAAAATTGGTGCGGATGCAGACATACCTTCCATATAATTGAATCGGTTAATTGAAACGAAATTACTTAAAATGTACAGGCTGCATTTATTGCCAGAATGCGATGCAATTTGGCACAGATCACATATTTGGCTGAAGGACGAATCATATTGAAATTGAAAATCGTTTCAAATGTAGATATAGAAACCATATATAGATTTGACCGACTACACAAGAGTTTACCCATGTCACAATGTTTGTCCGACTGAGGCGAAATATACAGCATGACATGGAGTCTATAATGACGTGTATAAAGTTTGAAGTAATCGGTTCAGATTTAGGTATAGCTCCCAAATACCCCACGATTGTTCGACTTACACGGAACTTTTCATTCTCGAGCATTTTGAATTAAGACTACAATAAAGTGTCTTATGGTTTCAAAAAATAAATTTTTATACCCTCAGCCAAATGGCTGATGAGGATATATACACTTTGATACGGCAAAAAATGTACTTCATCGAAATATTGGCTTGTTTGGACAAAATCAGTTTTAAACAATTTGGAGTCGATTTACAAATGTCCGCCCGTCCGTTTGCCTAGCCACCTGGTGCAGATGGTAACTTTTAAAGGCAATAGCCGATTCCGTCCAAACTTTGCACATCGTAATATTTATTGGTTCAGTTTCGAAGATTGGAAAAATCGGTCCACTCCTTCTGGTATCCAATATCTAATCTCATCGACACTTCGTAATATTTTTACCTTAATCTTTCTTTGGTCAAAATTTTCTAAAAAATAATTTTATAATACGGCGCCAACAGTCTATCCTATGATGAGACTTATCGGCTCACTCCTTCTAGTACCTCCCCCACAAAGTGTCAAAATGTTTAGAACTTTTGTGATTAGAATGTTCCGTTGATCGGTAATCATGACCGCCGTCGAAAAGAAGGACTACTTTTTAATTTCAAAAAACCACAACAACAGTTTGTCAATTTCGGTATTCTTTAACTTTTTTCCGAATATGTTGGAATTTTACACACCGCATCTAATTGAGCCTACTGTAAAGTGTATTTTTATACTCTTCACCACTCTGTGGTACAGGGTACTATGCCTTTGTGCATATGTATTTAACAGGAAAAAGGAATCGTTCGTTTTGAGAATATGCATAGAATCATTTTCGGTGTCGATATGCATCACTGTCTGTTCGTTCATGTAGTTTTGTGAGTTGTATTTATGATCCGAATTGCATGAAATTTGGCACAGGTCACTTATTTGGCCCAAGGACAAACACTACCGGTTCAGATTTAGATATAGCTCCCATATATATTTTCGTTTTATTTTATATGAATGGTGCACAACGTATTGAATTGCTACACAGCGTATTGAATTAGGTCCTGATTGATGTATGCGAAGTTTTTATTTTTTTTTTTTTAAATCGGTTCAGATTTATATATAGCTCCCATATATATTTTAGTCCGATTTTATGTAAATGGGGCACCGAAGAATCTATGTTTTTTATTTACACGAAATTTGGCAGAGCGTATTAAATGGATTGATTGAATGTGTATTAAGTTTTGAAAAAATTGGTTCATATTCAGATATTGCTCCCATATATATTTTCGTCACACACATCTAATTTCGTACGAATCCATTTCAATGGTCCTACAAAGATGTACTGTATGTTCTATGGACAGAATATTGTTCATATAATCATCTCTTGTATGTACCCAAAGTGGTGAAAGGTATCATATAGTCGGTCCCACCCAACTTTTGAACTTGTCTTACTGATTTCCTTTTGTACCGGCAAAATTATTAACATGAATTCCTGATTTAGTAAATACCCTATAATTTAATTTCAATTGTTCCAATTTCCTTACCATGCTCGATATAAAAGGACATAAACTAGAATCTATTTTCTTCATCCCATCATTTCTTCATGTGCAGAAAAAATATGAATTTTTTGAAATCATAACAAAATTCAATATTCGGCAACTAATAACGGATCGTAATCCGCATTCAAGCTGTGGCCAAACTTTTCATTCTCGACATAGCAAACATGATAAATTTTGCTCGATTGTCATTCAATCCTGTGAAGAGATTCATACATCCCTACATACATATGTGGATAACTACCTGTCATGCATCATCCAGCAGGCAAACGAAGAGTGACTTCGAATAATCAAATTTATGCGTTTCATTCACTTGATAGTTGTTGCTACCATCATACATGCGCTGATACGGCTGCTTCCGCTGCTCGTTACAATCAATAGATTCATGTTGCGCCAGCTGTGGCCCAGCGATAGTTTGACAGAGCAATTTCCATAAAACCGTCATAAACAAAAACGCAGCACCACCAAAACTGCAATAAAAAATTGCACAACAAATATTGCAATCCTTTAAGAGACTTAAAAAGTGAAAGTAAGGGTTCAGAAAATCACGTGGAGTCTGTTTGGGATCGATGTAGTTGTCAACAGATATTTGGTAAATATATATATATATATACCTTTCACCACACTGTGGTACAGGGTATTATTTCTTTGTTCATATGTTTGTAACAGGCAAAAGGAAACGAGATAGACCCATGGTTCCTTTTGAGAATATGCATAGAATCACTTTCTGAGTCGATTTACGCATGTCCGCCCATCCGTGTTAGATTGTAAACAAAGTACAGGTCGCAATTATAGTTTCATCCGATTTTAAATAAATATGGCCGATTGGCACAAACTTTTGCAGAACGTTCTGAAGTTACGGTGTGGAAACTTTCGCTTATATGGCCGATTAGCACAATATTTTGCACAACGTACTGAAGTTAGTATAACCTGTGGGGTGGAAAGTTTCGCTGAAATCGGTTTAGATTTTGATAGACATGCACAAAACGTACCGAAGTTAGTATAAC